GCTTCCAGAATCACAGCAACACGCAAGCCATCACTACAAACTGACAGAATGAGTGATGGACCCAAATAACCATCAGCTGTGAAATACACACATCTTGTGGTGGAAAAAGAAATAAGATGCATTCACATGAGGTCATGGGTTGGAGTCAATTTGACAACTGGGCTTTTTTATTATATGTTTTGATAGTGAGATATCATCTAAATATACTTATTAAATAAAATAACAAGATGAATTAAAATGCTTATGAAACATTATGCTTATAGAATATTTTGTGTTGAAAGGCAGGAAAATTTTTGGAAAAGGAAACTTCAAAAAGTTTGTGGAAAAGTCCAATTATCTTTTAATTCCACTTTTGCAAGGTCAGTTCTTCAAATACACAGGTCTTCCTCAGAAACCCTATACAGGTTTGTTGTAAGTCAAAACCAACTTGTTGGAACTAAACAACAATAATAGCATTAACTTTTTAAGGCACCTATGTAAATATATAATTACAAAAAAGAACACTGAAAAATAAAAGCTAAAAATTATATATATGGAACCGACTTGAAGGCACTTAACAACAACCATGTATATATAAGGAACTCTGGTAGCAAAGTGCTTTACGTGGCAGACTGATAAACTTACCAGAAGCTCTGTGGGAGGAAGATGAGGCTTTCTTCTCCTGTAAAGGAGTTACAGTCTTGGAAGCCCTATATAGGGTGGCTGTGAGTTGGAACTGACTTGATGGCACACTGCCACCCCTGCTATACATATGGCAGTGGTGGTGGTGGTTATGAGCCATCAAATCAATACCAAAGCATATCCACACTTTATAAAGTTTCTAAAGCTGTAAATCTTTAAGGAAGCAGAAAGTCTCATCTTTCTCCTGCAGAGCGACTAGTAGGTTCGAACTGTTAACCTTGCAGTTAGCAGCCCAGCTCATAATTCCAGAGCTCCTTACTATATATATTCCTGGTGTGGCTCTGTAGAACAAACACTGGACTGCAAATTGCAAGGACAGACTAAATGGCACTTAACATGTATGAAGTCCTGGTGTGATGCTAGAGGATAAGCACCAGGATGCTTACAGACTCTATGGCACTTAACAAAAAACAAACAACAAAATCATATACATATAGAAATTCTGGTAGTGCTGTAGAATAAGCACTGGACCACAAGTTCTGTTTGAAGTACAAGAGCAGTGGTTCAAACTCAACAGCCGCTTATCTGAAACCCTAGGCTGGGTTTCAGTGAGTTGGAACTGAACTTATGCTTTGCAGTCCATATTTTATCCTACAACACAACACCAGAACTCCTAACAATCTATTGTTGTTGTTGTTAAGTACCATTGAGTTGGTTACTACTCATAGCAGCCTTGTATAGAGTTTCCAAGCAGCAACTAGTGGATTTATATCACCAACCTTGCTGTTAGCCACTCAGTGCTTATCCTACAGTGCTGGAGCATGATTTCATAAATATGAGAAATGGTTTCACAGAGTTCTTGGAGAAAATCCATTACCTTTCTTCAGTGAAATTTTTTGAAGCTCTCTTGTATATCTGTGTGTATGTTGTTGTGTATAAGTATATTGTTGGTGAGTACCATAAAGTATTTATATAGATATATTATATGTATTGTTGCTGTTAAGTGCCTTTGAGTCAGTTGCGATTCACAGCCATCCTAACAACAATTATTTGGATTGCTTCCTATCATTTGTTATTATAATAGAGTAAATAATCCTGTGTTTAAATCATTTCATTTCAACACACACATACATACATACATATATATACACATGCATATGGAGAAGAGGAATGTGATATATGTCTTGTAATATTATGTTATATAGTAACGTAAAGTTTTGTTAAAGGTAATACAGAATCTTACATTGACAGAGAACTCCCAGAGGTTCCAGCCAGATTCAGAAGAGGCCATGGAAAGAAGAATATCATTGCTGATGTCTGATGGATCTTGGCTGAAAGCAGAGAATATCAGAAAGAATTTTACCTGTACTTTATTGACTATACAAAGGCTTTCGATTGTGTGGATCATGACAAACTATGGACAACATTGAGAAGTATGAGTATTCCTGAACACTTAATTGTGCTCATGGACCAAGAGGCAGTTGTTTGAAAAGAACACGGGACCACTGAATGGTTTAAAAATAAGAAAGGTGTGTGACAAGGCTGTATTCTTTCACCATACTTATTCAACCTGTATTCTGAACAGATAATCTGAGAAGCTGGGTTCTATAAAGAAAAACATGGCATCAGCATTAGAGGAAGACTCATTAACAACCTGCTATATACAGATGATACAACCTTGTTTGCTGAAAGTGAAGCGGACTTGAAATATTTACTGATGAAGATCAAAGAGCACCGCCTTCAGTATGGATTACATCTCAATGTAAAGAAAATAAAAATCCTTACCACTGGACCAATAAACAGCATTCTTATCAATGGAGAAAAGATTGAAGTTGTCAAGGACTTCATTCTTCTTGGATCAACTATCAACACTCGTGAAAGCAGCAGTCAAGAGATCAAACAATGTATTGCAGTAGGTACATCTGCTGCACAAGACCTTTTTAAAGTGTTGAAGAGCAAAGATGTCAGCTTGAGGACTAAGGTGTGCCTGACTCAAGCCATGGTGTTTTCAATAACCTCAAATGGATGCGAAAGCTGGACAGTGAATAAGGAAGATCATAGAAGAATTGATGCTTTTGAGTTATGGCGTTGGTGAAGAATATTGAAAGTGTCATGGACTGCCTAAAGAACCAACAGATCTGTGTTGGAAGAAGTGTTGGAGGCCAGGATAGCCAAACTTTGTCTCTAATATTTCAGACATATTGTCAGGAGGAACCAGTTGCTAGAAAAGGTTATCGTGTTTGGTTAGCTGGAGGGTCAGAGAAAAAGAGGAAGACCTCAGCGAGATAAACTGGCCAAGTGGCAGCATTGATGGACTCAAGCATGACAACAGTAGTGAGGTTGGCCCAGGACCAGTCAGTGTTTCATTCTGTTGTGCATAGGGTCACTATGAGTTAGTACCAACTCAATGGCACCTAACAACAACAACAAAGTTAAATAGAATTGCTACTCATAGCTATCCTGTATAGGGTTTCTGAGAATTGGCTGGTGAGTTTGAACTGTGGACCTTTCCATTCAAACTGAGCTCCTTTCCATTCAAACTGAGCTGGTGATGCAGTGCTTATCCTGCATATACATATATATGGAGTCCTGGTGTGGTGCTGTAGAATAAACACTAGACTACAAGGTTGGTCAGTTTTAACCACAAGGTCTGTGGTTCAAACCAACTAGCCAATAGTCTTCCTCTCCATATGTATATGCATATAAGTATTGCTGTTAAGTGCCATTGAATCAGTTCAGACGTATAGCGACACTGTATATGGTTTCCAAGGAGCACCTGGTGAGCTTGAACCACCAACCTTGTGGTTCAAACCAACTCTGCAGTCCAGCACATCAACTCACAGTGCCACACCAGGATTCCATTTATAAGTATGTATGTATGTGTGTATATATATATATGTGTGTGTGTGTACTGAACTGAAATTATTTAAGCATGGGATTATTTACTCCAATCATATTGTAAAAACATATGATAGGCAGTAATCCAAACAACTATTGTTGTTAGGTTGGCTATGAATCAAAACCAACTCAATGGTACTTACAACAATAATAATACATATATATACATATAGAAAGAAAGAGGAATGTGACAGGGATAGAGGCATAGAAGTAATATATCCCAGATATACATCTTGAAATATTATGAGGGTAAGTCAAATAGAATTCCTACAAAACATAGAAACATCTATTAAACAAAATGTAAAAATGTGAAGCTATTATTTATCAACATATATTTCATATAAGTATATACACTTCTGAAGACAACGTTCAATCTTTCAAACCTTTTCTCAAAGAATTCTGTACTCTTTTATTTACACCAGGTAAAAATATCAGTTTTGGCATCATTCTTGTTGTTGTTAAGTACTATAGAGCTCGTTCCAATTCATAGCAACCCTGTATAGGGTTTCCAAGGAGCAGCTGGTGTGAAACTGAAATCATATTACTTTGAAATGGTCTTTGAATTTAGGAAATACAAAGAAAGAAGTCTAAATGAACTAGAAAAAGACTGTAGGGGGATATAGTAAGGTTTCCCAATGAAAGTCTCATGAGATATCCCTTGCTACCTTGAAAGAATGAGAAGTTGCATTGTTGTGATGGGAGAAAAAAATTCCTCAGCACCCTATTTTTACCTTTTTTTTTTTTTTCCCTCATCAATGCAATTTCTATTTTCTCAAAACTTCATAATAAACCCTGGTGATCAACTGGTGTCCTTTGAGAAGATCTATCAAGGTAATCCTCGAGAGTCCCAGAAAACAGTGGTCATGACTTCCTGAGATAACCTTTCTATCTTGAATTTAACTGGTCCAGCAGATTCCTTGGAAGTCTCCATTTTGAGTGAACCATTCATTGCTTTGGAAGGCACCTTGAGGAAACAAAGGCAAGTGTATAACAGAAAATTTGTCTGCAGCAGTCTACTGATTGCAGAGACATTTTAAAACATACTTGTTTGATATAAGCTTGTACATGTATGAAATGGAACCCTAGAACAATACATTTCAACTTATCCCCTTCAGTGAATGTTAATTATTATGCTAATTTAATATAATTAACTTTATTCAATATATATTTGTTTATGTAAAAATACCTTTTTTAAAAAAGAACATGGGAAATATCTCTGAATGGTTTATGTAACAGTTTGACACAAAGTATTTTAACACAAATTATACACATTCAAACACTTTTTTAAAAGTTCCTGTGGGAAATGACAGTGTCATTTGAGTCTATTAAAGCATCCTTCTGATTGCACAACATAAACGAGAAGTTGCGATGTGGTAACACTTGGCCTTTATCTTGAAGACCAAGAGTCCTTATGAAAATGTGTAGTATCATTTCCCTTAGCAATTCAAGCCAGAACTGCGCTTCATTTCCTCAGTTAGACATTTTTTGCAGTATCAAGAAACACAGCTCTTTGCTTTGTTTTAAAGCATTACTAAAAGAGTAAAGACAACATTTTATTTTATCATGTATAACTATAAAGTAGCATTAACAAGCGAACAAAGATGTAATAAATTAGACTTTTCTTCATTTTAGAGCGAGAAGATGGAAACATTGGTTTTCTTTTCTCAATTAAGTATGTGCGAATCAAAGGAAAAAACATTTTTTGAGTTAATGCATGGTTCAGGAAAAGAAGAAAGAAGTAAAGAAGAGAAACTCAGGTAAAGACTTTTTTTTTTCTTATTCTTTTAAAGACGTAATGGATGTTAAATATTTATGAGTACTTGTTTTTGAAATACCTGGTTACAATAGGAAAAGCAAAGACGATTTTCATTAATACAGGTAAAACTCAAACCAAACCAAATCCAAGCCACTGAGTCAATTAGGACTCATCCTGTAGGACAGAGTAGAACTGCTCCATAGGATTTCTGAGGATGTAAATCTTTACAGTAGCAACCGTCCTCATCTACCCAGAAGTACTGTGGGTTCCCAGAAGTACTGTGGGTTCTAACAGCAGACCTTACAGTTAGCCGCCCAGATCTTAACCAAATGCACTACCAGGCAAAAACTTAAATCTAAAGTGCTTTCATTACAAGAAGAAAGAAAAATGTATAAAAACTCTAGCTTCGTAGAAGAACTGCTAAAAAAATTATTATTGAAATACAATCAGAAATACTAAGGGGGCTTCAAAAAGTCAAACACTGGATTTATCTTTTAATTCCAATTTTCCACGAGCTTTTTGAAGTCCCCTAGTATTTTATTCTCACCAAGGGAATGAGTAGTTCACATATGCTATGCTAATCCCACCATACACAAAGTGTTTCATTGGGCTTCTCTAGGCAAAAAGCCTTTGAGTGTCAGTGAGCATAAGTGTGAATACAGGAGTGTTTGGGTGATTATCAATTCTAAACTTGTTTGGTAGTCAGGAGCTCTTTTGGGTGTCATCAAAATTGTCCTGAAGTAGATGTCTTTTTATTATAGAGCCAAGGAAAAAAAAAATAGGCTAAGTCTCCTCCTACTGAAACATGAGTTCCATGAAGACACCCATTCCAGTACATCTGGGCACTTGACCAAAGATACAAGGTGAATGACTTTTAATTCTCTTTTGGGAAGATTGTGCTGATTCTATGATTAAAGTTTCTTTTTTTTTTTTTTTCCAAAAGGAACTGTAGACTTTCTATATTACTGGATATAATTAAGTTAGAGCTATCATTTCAAGAAGCCAGGGATATTTCACAAAATTAAGTCACTTTGGTAGCTTGAATTATAATCATATAAAAATTCAAAGCCACTCTTAAAATTATATATCTGTCAATTTTAAATGATGTCTTTTACTGCATATACATGGATAAAATAGTCATTAACTGAAAACTTTTCACAACTCAGTATTGTAGTTGGAAAGAAGTACCCAACTATTTTCTAGGTAATTTTTTTTTTAATGCCCTAGGCATAGCAGAAAGTAAAAGTCAAATAATTACTAATTTTAAAATTTTAATTCAAAATGAAAACAATACTGTTACTGAATATTACAGTTCTCCCAAGTTTGAAACATAACCAATAAAAGTATCTAAGAATAAATAGATTCAACTTTCTAAATGTCCCTAAAAATATTTCTTATTCCATTGAAAATTTCTAGTCAAACATCCTGTATCTGTTAAATACATATTATAGCATATTCTGTTAAGAGATTCAAGGAAATTGCAATAGGAAAACAAAATAAATACACACAACAAAACAAAAAACTTTGGCTGAAAGAAACTATGACTTTAAGATCTTCTACTTATTGAATTTTAAAACACTATTGACCAGATCACGTGTTCTTAGATTTTTGTGCTCTTTACAGAGCAAATGATTCATTCTTCCTTAAAATAAAACATTTCACACACCTATGAGAAAAACATTTACTCTTGTTTCAGTACATTTAACTACTCAATAGACAAGAAACCAAAAGATATTTGACCAGTGTTTCTGAAGCTGCCAATGTAAATACAATTCTCATTTTATAATAATGAGAGGAGAAACTCTTTAAAGTATGGCTAAAAAGAGCAATAACGTACATATGTTAGGACAGATTCAGAGATAGACTTACCGTATGTACATACCATAAAAAAACAACAACATTTGTTTCTTAAACAGAGTCTCCCCTGAAGAGGCTGTGAAATGGGGTGAATCATTTGACAAACTGCTTTCCCATAAAGGTTAGTGATATCATTTCCCAAGTACGTTCTTTCTATAGGGATACATTGATGATGGTGTTGTGTGCTGTCGAGTCAGTTCTAACTCACAGCAACCCTGTTTAGTGTTACCAAGGCTGTAAATAGCGTAGCGGTTACGAATCGGGCTTCGAACCTCAAAGTCAGCAGTTCGAAACTACCAGCTGTTTCACGGGAGAAAGACGAGGCTTTCTACTCCCGTAAAGATTTACAGCCTCGGAAACCCTGTTCAGGGTCGCTATGGGTCGGATCTGACTCGATTGCACTTAACAACAACAAATCTTTGTAGAAGCAGATAGCCTGTCTTTCTCCCAGAGTGACTGGCAGATTCTAACTGCTGATCCTGGGCTTAGCAGACATTTCATAATCCACTGTGCTCCTTATAGTGATATAAGTAAGGTCACGTATTTTTAATGGCAAATTATAGTCAAAGTATGTATATGCAATTATGAAAGTTTAAGGGTTTTGGCTTATTTGATTATCCTGATCTGAGAACTCTAGTTAGAATAGTCAATAAATGAAAAGCTGTTTTAAGGTGTTCTCATTTCATTAAGAATTATTCATTAGTACACAGTACAGCTGAAACATCAGTGCACTATGGTATACAGTTCCAATTAAAAAAAAAAAAATTCCAATTTGCACGAAACTGCTGCAGGCGTCAACTTGATTCTGACATAACAGTGACCCCTTGGGACAAAGAAATGCCATATAGGGTTTCCAGGCTACAATCTTTATGAAGCAACTTAATAATTTTTTCTCCCGCAGAGCAGTTGGTAGATATTTCCAGTTAGGAGCCAAGCACTTACCCACTATGTCCCTAGAGTTCCCACAAAACTCTTGGTTTTAATAAATTCTAAATTTTCAATGTCATTTTTAGTGTCAAGTTTACCTAAATTTTGAAAATAAAAAATTAGTACGATTATTTTTTTAGTTTTATAAATGTTTTACTCTGTGACTTTCATATTAGTTGTCTATTTTTAAAACAAAATTTCACAGAAAACTTCAGAAATAGATATTTAAGGTGAAGCTTTGTGGATGGGATGAAAGGAGAGGACAAGTATTGAGCCCTGTTTGATTTACCAGCCTTAAAAAAAGCAAGGGTTAGAGGGAAGACTGCATGGATTGCTACTACTTAGAGTAAATTCACATAAGGTAGGTGAGCAAGCCATTTTATCTTTATTTAGTCCATGATTTATTCCAGAATAAAATCAATAGTAGAACAGAGGAAGTGATAGGGCTAGGCAACTGCTGAGTTTATTCCCTAAACTGGACCAGTCAGAGTCTGCTGCAGAAGTTAACACATCATCACTTGTCCTGGAGCCATCCAACAGCTTTACTTTTATGTCAGATTTTTCTCATTCCCTACTTCATTCTTTGTCTGAAACACAAATCCTTCTCAGCACTTCCACAGATTGTTCCAGCATGATGTTTAACCAGGCCACTCTGTTGTTTAGAGCATTTGTTAGCAGGTTTCACATTTTGAAGTGTCTGTCTACTGGAAGAAGCAGTTCCTGTTGCCAGGGAAGCTGGGAGTAAAGCACTTGTAATTTGAACTCAAGTTCTATACTGCACTTGATGAAGCAGACACCAAGTTTTCTTGTTTGTGCTTATTTTCTGTTTTACATACTCCATAAAATTATCCAACACTGCATTAGGTCTTGATGAACTGTTCAATTTCCATCTTAGGCTCAGAATTATATTGCTGCAGACTATCCCTGAAGACTTTCCGTCTTTTCTTTTAAAGTAGATCATCATTCTGAATATTGTTTCAGAGAGAAAATGTTAAGTAGTCACATCAAGTTTTAAATTTATGGAAGTATGTAACCAATGAGAATGGAGAATAGTAGTAAGAAAGTAGTTTATACACAAAAATATACTCTGTTCCTCTTTCATCCTCTATTTTATATTAATGCTGCTTTCAACCCCTATTTTGAAAAAGAGTAACTTAAACAGTCATCCTCAACTGCTCAACCTTCCTCATTTACTAACAGCTGCTCAAATATTTGCCAAGTATATGTTCAAACTGTTTACTTTCACTATATCTACTGCCCAGTCTTGATGCAAGTCTTTTTCTTTTCTTAGAAATGAATTGAAACAAGCTTTGTAAACATTTCCTCCATAATTAGTTCCCTAAAATTTGTTTCTCTTAGCTTCACTTATTTCCAAATATTTTGGTACATTTCTTTCCTTTATTCTCTTCACCAGTCAGAACAAGAAAAAAATGAGGAATGTAATTCATTTTAGGCAATTTGATTACTGAAAGGAAGCCAGAAGTCTTTTCATACTTGGATCCCCGAGCCCAGCACATCTTGGTAAATATTAAGTGCTCACTTTGTTGTTAGGAACTAGTTCAGGGTTCCTTTGCAATTTGACTTTTAGTTATACTCTGTGATGTAATGCTTCTATTATTTTAGTTAATCTCACTAATCTGACCTTTGCTTCATTACCTGTAAATCGTAATAGCAATGCCTTTAACATTAATAGAATTCATATCACGAATAACAAAACCCACAAAATTTGTTGTTGTTGTTAAGAACCATGGAGGTGGTTCTGACTCATAGTGACCCTGAACAGGGTTTTCAAGGCTGAAAGTCTAAGCAGAAAGCCTCATCTTTCTCCTGCAAAACAGCTGGTAGTTTCAAACTGCTGACCTAGAGGTTAGCTGTCCAATTCGTAATGACCATGCTACCAGAGTTCCTTACAATATATTATTGTTGATGTTAAGTGCTGACCAGTCAGTTCCGATCCATAGTGACCTTGTATAGGGTTTACAAGGAGCATTTGGTAAGCTCGAGCTAGCCAACCTTGCAGTTAAATACTTATGTTATTATAAAAATGATTATTTGATCAACAATAAACATAATAATGTTTATATTTTTTCAATATATTTCCCAATTTGATAAATACCAGTTAAACTCATCCACTTTCATCAAATTGGTATCAATTCCTATTGACTCTATAGGACAGAAAGAAATGCTCCTTAGGGTTTCCAAGACTATAAGTCTTCATAAACATGGACAGCCTCCTCTTTCTCCTACAGAATGACTGGTGAACTTGAACCACAGACCTTGAGGTTTGCAGTCAATACTTTACCCATAGCCTCACCAGGACTACTAAACATAAATTAGAAGGTCAAGATTTAAATGTTAGATAATTTACAATCTCAACTTATTACTTTAACTTAATACATTCATATAGGATAATTTTATCATACACTCATTACCCATTCAAAGAAAAGAATGCTTTATCAAGAAAATCCTACAAAACATGTCCACCTGATATTCTATAATCATCGTTTTGAAAACAGCCAAAACCAAAAAAAAAAACAACAAAAAACCCTGAATTGGACACTCTTTTTCCTCTCCTGGTAAAAATAATAAAAAGCTGAATCAAAAGGAGGCAATAAGAATAACAAAAAGTCAGCACTGAGCCACCTTAAATTTATTATCATCTCTCTACAAATCAAAGTGCTAATTAAACTATACTCAATTCTTGAGAGAATTTGTTACTAGTAATCTTTTACCTGATCTACTTGGTTAATGATCCCTGGCGTGGTGCTGTAGGTTAATGCGCCAGACTACAAAGCCGTTTATAACTGTAAGGTTGGCGGTTCAAGCTCACCAGCTGCTCGTTGGAAGACCTATACAGGGTCTCTATGGGTTGAAATTGACTCAACAGCACTTAACAACGTGTGGTTAATATATCATTGTTTTTAATTACAATTCTTATTGAAATATTAAGTTATCAATAAAAAAATGTATAGTTGGTAAGTGCCATCAAGTCGATCCCGACTCACAGCGACCCTGTATACGGTTTCTGAGGAGCAACTGGTGAGCTTAAACTGCTGATCTTGTAGTTCCAACGGACCTTGCAGTCCAGCACATTAATCCATGTGCCACACCACGACTCCAAATTATAAAATAGCCACCTGTAGAAGTTTGTGGGTTAAAGTACTTAAAATTCAATTGATTTGCTTCAGGCCAAATTGCTTTAACATACATTCACACGTTTAAAGAGCAAGATTATGGTCTATTAATGTTGTAAAAGGAGCTCTGGTAGCGTAGTGGTTAAGAATCGGGCTGCGAACCTTAAGGACAGCGGTTCGAAACTACCAGCTGCTCCGAGGGAGAAAGATGAGGCTTTCTACTCCCGTAAAGATTTACACCCTCGGAAACCCTGTACAGGGTCACTATGGGTCGGAAACGACTCGATGGCACTTAACAATGTTGTAAAAGTTTCAAAATTGATACATTTCAAGAGGATCTTTCTCTATGAATTTTCTAGAATCTTCCTTTGATTAAGTGTTTATATTTCTCAACTATCTATGCAAAGGGGTTTCAAAAAGTTCATGGAGAAATTCCATTATTTTTTAATTCCATTTTTTCATGAACTTTTTGAGTCCATCTCCTATAAAGGAAATGAAATTTTCATTTGGGTTTAGGTAAGCAGGGATAAAATTTTGAGCATTCAGTTTGACCAAAATGATTGATATTATACTAATTAAAGAGTAACTATTATCAGAACCTTTTACAATGGAGACACAGATTGAATGATTCCTACCCTATGTTTTAGAGGATTAGTAGAAATTCACCAGATAGAAAAGAAGAGAATATTCTAGCAGGAATCATCATAATTACAGTGGTGGAGGTGGGATAAGGGGGGGCAGGAAGAGAGCAATTTTTTTAAGAAGCTAAAAGCCAAACAACTCTTACTAAAAAGCATCACTTGCAAAAGGAAGGGTGGTTCACGCAATAGACAGATGACATTAAAACAGAGATATGAGTGGTTTTATTTATAGAGAAACTAAAAGACCCATGGAATTATTTGAAAAATTCTCATTTTACTAATTTTTTTTTAAAATTTATCTTAATGTTTTGAGGAAATTCAAGAAAATATGAATGAAGTATGAACTTTAGTTTATAATAATGTATCAATGTCTAAATGCTGTTCAATAAGAGAGAAGCAATAATGTATCAATAATCAAT